AGTACAAGGGCCTGAGTTCAATCCCCAGTTCCAGAGAGAGAGAGAGAGAGAGAGAGAGAGAGAGAGAGAGAGAGAGAGAGAGAGAAAGCAGGGGTGGTCCCAGCATCTCCCAATGCCTAGAGCCAATTAACCTCAAATTCAAATAGAAGACCCAGATAGAAATATCTCAGCATGCCTGAAAATTTTCTAAGAGAAGTATGATTTCTTTCGTTTTCCTAAAGAGCAGCACTGAACAAGCACAAAATCTGAATGGCCACAGGTACTAAGCTCCATCCTACCTCCTTCCTTTTTTTGTGTGTGTGCCACCAGGAACTGAACTCAGGACTTTGCGCTTGCCGGGCAGGTGCTTATGCCACTGAGCTATATCCCCAGCCCCCTTTCTTCCTTCCTTTCTCTCTTTCAAGAGCATCTCACTAAGTTGCTAACCTGCGCAGGCTGGGCTTAAGCTTGCAGTCCTCCTGCCTCAGCCTCCCAGAGTGCAGGGATGATAGAGGTCAACAGGCCTGGCTGAGGTGGCTTTAAATGGGCAGATAAGTTTTGTTCCCAAGAATGGCTCTCAGCCAGGATGACTCTGCTCCTAGAGGCCCCCCGGCCACATCTGGCGCTACATGCAGTTATCGCGACTGGGGAGCTTCTAGCATGGTGCCAGTAGAGGCCAGGACATCGCAGAGCACGACCCAGCCACGGTGTACACCTCGGCGAGGCTGAGAAATCGCAAACGTATCATGTGCTTAAGTTTAATTTTATTTATTTTTTTTTTTGGCAGAACCGGGGATTGAACTCAAGCCCTTGAGCTTGCCAGGGAAGCACTTATTCTACTGAGCCATCTCCCGGCCCCTTATGTGCTTAAGTTTAAAGCTCAAATTTAATAAGCATATAGCTTGTTGCTAGGCTGATGGTTCCCCAGGGGTACACATCTAATGATTCCTAATGGGATACCCCTAAGTCAGAAGGGCATGGAGAACTATCAGTTAAACAGACACAAATATTCACTGACCAGACTTCACACTCTTCTATTTAGTGTTTTTTGTTTGTTTTCCTCCTTTAACAATGAGGTGGCACACACCTGTCATCTCAGCTGTCAGGGAGACTGAGTCAGGCCCAGGTTGAGCAACTTAGCAAGACCCTACCTCAAAATAAAAAAATAAAAATGGCTTAGGATGGAGCTCAGCATGAAGGCCTAGGTTCAATCCCGGACTGCGAAATGGTGGTGATGGTGGGATGTGTGGCCTCCTCCCCACACCATCTCTACCTCTCTTCCTGCAGACTCTATTTTGAAGCTCTCGGGGGAGAATCCCCGAGTGTCCCCCAGTGGCCAGACTGAAGTCAAATTCCAGTTGCTTCCTCTGTCTCCTCCTGTCTTTCTCCTCTGCCCCCTGCTCCTACCCAAGGGAAACCTCGTTCCACTCAGGGCTTCTCCCCTCCCTCTGCAGCCACAAGGGGATCCTGACAATGACTCCACCAAGTCCTTGCTCCGGCTTTTTTATTATTTCCACTCGGCGAGGAGGAAAAACACCTCAGAGGTGACCCTAGCAGGACAGCAGAGGCAGACCTTGAACATGAGCCTGCCCCCAGGGCTGGGGCCTCAGGATCACCTGCGTACCCAAACAAGTTCAGGACCTTGGCAGTTACTTTGCCGACACCCAGCAAGGATCTGCAGAGCTAGCTGGGGACCTGCTGCTTGGGATCCGCAAGACTGCCTTCAGCCACCCACCTCCAGCCTCAGCAGCCCCCCCCATCCTGGAAAAATAAAGTGCCACCCACACCCCTCGCTCAGTAGCATCAGCCCCCAAACTCCCACGGTTGCTCCTGAAAAATTCTGTCACCTGTGTCAGCTTTTCTGCGCCCCGAGATGTCTGCCCCTCTGCACCCTCCACCTCAAAAGAGGCGGGGCAGAGCGTTGTAGACTCCTTTGGCTCACTGTTGGGGGGGACTCGGCCCCTTGCTGTCTCTACAATGAATGATCCGATTCACAAGCCCCACACGCAGAGAGGCAATCCTGCCCTGAAGCCTGGCCATCAAATGTGACCCCAGACCTCTGATCTCCTCTTTTCTCTGGGCAGCCTCTACAAAGACACCTGTCCCCAGGTCCCGCAGCCTTCTGCTCTGGCCCCCATATCCCAACTTTTCTGGAATCCTCCTCCACTGGCACACTCTCACCTGCCTCTCACACCCCTCTGGGAAAAGCCTGGACCCCGCACCCCCACCCCCCAGCACCTTCCTGGCTCAGACTTAACTTCCTCCCAGGGCTGTTTCCCAGCTAACCCTAAACCTCCGGTACCCCAATAATAGCCCTTCCCGGGCAACTCAATCTCCCAAACCCAGCTGTCTGCAGCCCCCTCCCCAGCTGACCTGACGCCCTCCTCACACGCTCTGCACCCCCTCCCCTGCAAATCGCAGGCCGATCTCCTGCCCCAGGGCCACCCCAGATAATTGGGATCTTTGGGTCTCTCAAATACCCTTGACCCTCAGATCAGCTCCATGCTGCTCTCGGCTAATCTGGCCCTCCAACTCATCTAGCTTCCTCCCCAGCTAGCTAAAACCTCTAATTGCACCCCCAGGCCCCTCCTTAATTAACCTGCACCCTCCAACCCCATTCCCTCCGCAGCTGACTCCGACTCCGGACACCAAGACCCCCTCTGGACCCAGACTCCAGCCCCTTTCCAGCTGACCTGGTCCCCCAACTTCAGCTCCCTTCCTAGCTGACCCTGACCCCCAACCCCAGGCCCTCACCAGTTCACCTGAACCTCCAACTCCGGCCCCAGCCCCCTCCACAGCGGACCCGGATCCGCCGCAAACGCCCTCACCTGCTCTACGGCCCGCCGCCGCCTCAGCCCCGCCGCGCAGCCGAACCCTCGGCTCCGGCCCGCGAGCGCTGGCTCCCTCTGCGGGGCGGGGCCTGCACGAGGGGGCGTGTCCGGCGTCCCCAGAGTGACCAATCGAGATCCCAAACGCCGGAGGCCGGAGCAGGGGGCGGGGCAAGAAGCAGGCAGCGGGGTAGGCTGCGCCCAGGAGAGCAGGGCGGGGCTTCAGTTATGGGTGGGCCCAGAGGGCGGAGCCTTGAGTGACACGGCTGCAAGCCAACAGCGAGCTGGGAACGCGCGAGGAAGGAGGAGTTATGATAATATGCAAATAAGCACGCTGTACTTTGCTCCAAAGCAAAGAACCGGTTTCCAGAAGCGACTGCGTCACGTCAAGGCAGTTATTATGTTCGAATCCCGGGAGCGGCACGGAGTTCGAATTGCGAATCTTAGCCCCTGAGGAATCCTGTCTCGGAAGAACGTCAAAAATACTAACCACAGCGACACTTTCTTGAACACTGTATCATCTCCACTCATGGAACCTTTTGCATAAAGCTTGAAAATAAAATTATTATTATTATTGTTGTTGTTGTTGTTGTTGTTGTTGTTATTGTTACTGAGGATTGAATCTAGGGATTCCTGAATGCTCAGCAGGCAATCACTGAGCTATATCTCCAGCCCTTTTTATTTTGAGCCGCTCTCACTGAGGTATCCAGTCTGGCCTTGAATTTGGAATCCTTCTGCCTCAGCCTCGCATGTGGTAGGATCACAGGCAGACACATCTGGAAGAGAACGGAGGTGCCATATGCCATAGCTTCGTGGACTTTGTTCAAGGCTGATAATCCGTGATCTCTAGCTGCTGGCCTCTGGGCTTGTCTTTCCAGGGCTCCTGTCTTCCCTGCAGGAGCCTCTGTTCCTCCCCTAGGCGCCAGCTGTCCACTGCGCCCCCCTGGAGGACATGGGGACCTCAAAGCACTACCCCTCCCACCTGCACCCAGACAGGCTGCCCCGGTGCACATCTCCAGGGGGGCCGACAGTTCAGTGGAGTGGCAAACTGGCAGCCCTCCAGGCACAGTGCAACCAAAATTCTTCAGAATGCTAAATTTTGTAACATGGGGATAGGGTATGACTTGGTGGTAGAGTGGTAATGTGGCAGAGCATGAGAGACTGGCCAGCACCAAAGGCAGAGAGAAAAAAATTTAAAAATTGGACCAGGGAGATAGTTTGGCGATCTAAGCGCCTGCCTGGCAAGCACAAGGACCCGGATTCAATCCCCAGTTCCAAATGCCGTGTGGACCCCGGAATCTGGGCGCACTGTGCCAGCCACTGAAACCAGATACTGCGCTGCACTCCTGTAATCCCAGCACTGGGGAGGCTGAGACAAAAGGATCGCTAGGAGTTTGAACTGCACAGCACGATCCTGTACTAACTAACTAACTAAATTCTAAAAATTAAAAATCAAGATCCAGGCATGGTGGTGCACACCTGTAATCCTAGCACCTGGGAGATGAGGCGGGAGGATCACCAGCAGCCTGTGCTACATAGTAAGTTCAAGACCAGCCTAGGGAGTGAGTCCCTGTCTCAAAAAAAAAAAAAAAAAAAAAAAAAAAGCTAAAGAAAATAAAATAGACATGGTGGTGCACACCTGTAATCCTAGCATTCAGAAAGCTGAAGCACAAGGATCAACATGAGCTCCAGGCCAGCCTGGGCTACTTGAGCAAGTTCAAAGCAGACTGCACTACATAGTGGAACCCTACCTCAGAAAATAGAGGGGTCGGGGAGATAGCTCAGTAGAATAAGTGCTTGCCTCACAAGCACAGGGTCCTGAGTTCAATCCCTGCTACTGCAAAAAAATAAAATAAATATCTTAAGTTTTTAAAGAAATTAAAAACATTTACTTGTATACATGAGATGTTTTGAAATATATGTATTTCCCAAAAGAGGTAATCCAATTAAAAGCCAAAACTTGGGTTAGAAAATTTAGGAGTCGTCGTCCCGTTCCCCCCCCCCTCCTCTTTTCTGTCTCTGTCTCTGTTTCTCTCTCTGGCTCTGGCTCTGGCTCTGCCTCTTTCTCTGTCTCTCGGTCTCTCTTCCTCTCTCCTCAAATTCAAGGTTTAGGGCTGGCGAGATGGCTCAGTGGTCTAAAGCACCTACATGGAACAAGCTTGGCAAAGCACAGGGACCGCGGTTCAATCCCCCAGCACCACACGCCAGCCAGCCCCGCCCCCTGGTGGGCTGAGCTGGCCACACACACACACACACACACACACTAAATAAATAAATAAATAAATAAAAGATAAAAAAAAAAATTTCAAGGTTTAAATGATGAAAGCTGGGGGCCTGGCCCTAGCTCAGTTCTTTAAGTGGCTGCTTCCACAAAGCTGTCAGCCTTAGGTTGCTGTAGTTCAAACAGCTCCAGCCAGCCAGCATACGGAGCAAAAATAAATAAATAAATGATGAAAGCTGCGTGTGGCGGTGCATAACTGCCACCCCAGTACTTGGGAGGCCGAGGTAGGAGCATCCCAAGTTTGAATTCAACCTGGCCAACTTCATGATTCAGTGAGACCCTCTTTCAAAATAAAAATTAAGAAAAGGAAGGAAGGAAGGAAGGAAGGACTGGAAATGTAGTCTAATGCTAAGGTTCTGGGTTCAATATCCAGTGCTAAAAAAAAAAAGAAAGAAAAAGAAAAAAAAAAAGAAAGAAAAAGAAAAAAAAAGAAATAATAGGGGCCGGGAAGATGGCTCAGTGGAATAAACGCTTCCCTGGCAAGTGGAAGGGCCTGAGTTCAATTCCCAATGCCTCAAATAAATAAATAAATAATAGAAGGTTGCCTGGCAAGTGCAGGGGTCCTAAGTTCAGTCCCTGGTACAGCAAACGAAAAGAAAAAAAAGAGAGAAAGAGAAGAAATTGAAGAAGAAGAAGAAAAGGAGGAGGAGGAGCAGGAGGAGGAGCAGGAGCAGGAGCAGGAGCAGGAGCAGAAGCAGAAGCAGAAGCAGAAGCAGAAGCAGAAGAAGAAGCAGAAGCAGAAGCAGAAGCAGAAGAAGAAGAAGCTCTTGCCTCAGCCTCCCAAGAGCTGGGCCTACAGGAGCGCGCCCCCGCACCCACCAAGTGCGCTCCCCACCCACTTTCCCCCAGTGATCGCGTTCCCAGGACGCGGCGGCGCTGCGCTTGCACCAGGACGGCTCTGTCTGCAGCCGCCCGCCACGCCCACTTTCCTCCTCCTCCTCCTCCTCCTCCCCCTCCCCCTCCTCCGCCTCCCGCTCCTCCTCCTCCTCCTCCTGCCCCTCACAGCCGACCCTAACCCCAGGCACGCGTGAACGCGTTTCCATTTCGGTGATAGCGTCATTCCGAGAAGGTTATATATTGCTCAGCATGCACAAAACCCTGGGTTCCATCCCCAGCCCCCTCCTCTAGTTCTCGTTTGTATCAATATTTTTCCCTTCCTCCTTTTCTTTTCTGTTCCTCTTTTTTTCCTCCTCCTTCTCCTCTTTCCCTCTCCCTGTTCCTGTTCCTGTCTGTCTCCGTCTCCGTCTCTTTCTTTCACAGCACTGGAATGGAATCCAGGACCTTCACGCAGAGCTCCACCCCCACCCCTTTTTATTTTGAGACAGGATCTTGCTAAGCGGCTAAATTGCCCAGACTGGGGTCAAACTTGAGTTCCTCCTGCCTCAGTCTCCCGCACCACGCCTGTCTTATTTTTCTGTCTTGTTTTCTTGATGCTGGAGATGGCATCTGGGTGTCAGCACACACCATCAGGCAGTCCTCACTGAGCTGCATTCCCAGCCCATCTCTGGGCTGCCCTATCCTGGTACCAGTCACCGGCTTTAACATCCACCCCTGAAGACTTCATTCATTCTTTCCAGTTTTTGGTTTAAAAAACAAAAACAAAAACAAACTGGCAGGGGGCCGGGGAGATGGCTCAGTAGATTAAGCACTTGCCTGGCAAGCACAAGGGCCTGAGTTCAATCCCCAGTTCCAGGAAAAAAAAAAAATACCTGACACACATGAACACAAATCTTCATTTCTCTGGAATAAATGTCCAGTAGGGCAATTATGTCACATGATAACTGCATGTCTATTTTATTTTCTTTTTGGGTTGGTTTTGTTTTTATTTTTATTTTGAGATGGTCTTCCCTGTGTAGCTCAGGCTGGTCTTGATCCCACTACTCAGCCCAGACTTACATCAAACTCACAGAAATCCTCCTGCTTCAGCCTCCTGAGTGCTGGGATCATAGGTGTGGGCCATCATGCTTGACCTAGTTTGTTTGTTTGTTTGTTTGTTTGTTTAACTGCCAAACTTTCTTCCATAATGATGTTTTTGCTTTTATTTTATGATACTAGGAATTAAACCCAGAGCCTCACACGTGCTAGACAAGAACTCTCTCACTAGCTGAACCCTCAGTCCTTTTTTATTTTTGAGACAGGCCCTCACTAAGTTGCCCAGGGTGGCCTCAAATTTGCAGGTAGCTGAGATTATAGATGTATGCCACTGTGCCCAGCAAGAATTGTATATAGATATATATTTGGTTTTTTT